TCAAGTGGTAAGAAAAGAAGTTTTTTTTTTTTTTTTTTTTTTTTTTTTTTTTTTTTACTTTATTTTAAAATTTTATTTGGAGAGCCTGGAGTCTGACTTCTTAAACTACTGATAGATTTTGTAAATGGAAACCATCTCTGTGATGACTGCCTTTCCGCCCACTTATTTTTAAAGAAATCTCCAAGAGAACAACCACCACAAGTTCTTCAGTCAAACGCTCATTGCTCGATCTCGCTGGCCACTGCCCATCTATCCACTCTGCAGCGCGGCTTCTCCTCTCCCTGGGGCTCAGACGCTCCTGCCTTCAGTCCCCATCCCCAAGTCCGTGGGCCGTTTTTGCTCCGGCGCCCCGGCCTTTGCTGGGCTTTCCAGCTGGCTGCACCCTTTCCGGGCATTTGCTGGACCAGTGCATGTGGGCATCCTGGGGAGTGCCAGGTGCTGGGGTGGGCCCTGCGGTGGAGGCAGCTCGTCCTGCCCGTGGAGAGCTGACGGTGGAGCTGCTGTTGGCAGTGGGAGCCTACGAGAGACCAGGAGGTTCCAGTGTTTCTGAGAGAAGCCTGTTGAGCCTCCAGAAGTTTGCCCTGAGTTCGGCATGTATCCCAGTGATCCAAGCAGCTGCTGACTGAACTGTGTCTGGGCTGTAATGCTTTTGTCACAAAATTGGTGGCAGGAGCCCAAGTCCCTCGCTGCTGGCCGCTGCACCTCCGACGTTGAATGCGAGTCCGAGTGCCTGCTGGAACACTTGGGTTTCTGTCCCTGCGTCTTTCCATGCCTTAGGCTGTAGTCTGCTGATCTTTTCAGTCCTGGGAATGTGAGCTATGGGGCTGGCGAGTCCAAAATCCACAGGGCAGGCTGGTGGGCTAGAGACCCAGGGACAAAAGGGTGTTAGCCTCCATTTGAAGGCAGACTATTTCTGCTAGTGTTTTATTTCAGCATTTCCAAGTCTGCTTGGAATTGTTTGGTTTTGGAAATAGATTTTCATGCACATTACTGGTCACAGTTAACAGGAGTTAAGGAAGAACCATAAAATAGATGCTATTGTAAGTTTGTCATCATCTAAATTTACTGCCAGTTACATGTAAGTAATAAAATACTCTACTGAGTTGTTTTCCAGGAAGGAAAATGGTCCGGGCTTGGAAATCAGGAGTCAGTTTTGGCTGTGTGTCTGCCTGCTGTTTTGATGTTAATGAGGCCACTTAAGGGGTTCACTTATTCCTCAGACAACATAATAGCTCTTTGTACTTATATAAGGAGCTTAGACCCATCAAGGAGCCTTAGGTTTCTGCTGCAATCTCATCAATACCCATACCATCCTCTGGTAGTTGGTCTGCAGGAAATGAACCACCTATGGCATTAGCTGCCTGAGGTGAGCACTGTGAGGAGGCCAGCCCTGGGATGGTGACCAGCGGGTGCTGTCACTATGACCTGGACCGGGGTTGGCACGTGAAGGCTAGTTATCCCGCACTGTTGGAAATGCTGGGCAGTGAAGGGTCTTGGTGGCGTGGAGGCGTCTGCAGCAGCTGCTGGTGGGGTTTTGGCATAGTTCTTGGGAGCTGAGGCCTCACTCCTACCTTTCTGTCTTGTTTCCCCGACTCGCCCTTCCTGCTGTGTGTCCCTCCTCTTTGCGTCCTGGCCCTCAGGTCTTCCCCTGCACAGCATCTCCCCCCTCACCAGCATTAGCTTTTTCACTCACCCTGTAAAGCTCAGCTCTGACCTCCCAAGCCTACCCCATGGGCATGTCTTTCCAGCCCTGTTACTCTGTCCTGCTGTGTGTTTGCTGGCCCTCATGTGGCCTCTGTCAGCACCAGGTGTCTAGAAGAGGCTCAGTTGTCTGTGTGTCTGTCTCCACACCTCCCCCAAATCAGATATTGTAGTAGGTAGTTTTTATTATTTATTTACTCTTTAAAA